GTCATGATCGTCACTGTCATCACTCTCAATATTATTTTTTGTTTAAGCGGCTTTATCTGCATGCAAACAGTGTTTATTATTTGTGGAAAATCACTCTTCTTATAGGAAAATCTGTCAGGGAGAACGAGAGCAGAAAAAAAACAAGAGCATTCATTGTTTAAATAAGCACCTGTCATATAAGGTGAAAGTAGAATATCTGCAACGGGCAACCTGTCACTTTTTTCTTATTTTAAGTGAAGAGAAATTTTATATGCAAAGTAAAATTTCAAAGTGAAATTCCTTTTGTTACAATTTCTTCAAATCGTAAGGTTCTTATATGGGTATATATCAGTGGGACATATGTGTACAGTTAGACTATTTATTTGAAAAGTGAAACATCACTCTAATTCTAGAGTAAGAGCAGTTGTCTCACTATTATGACGTTTTAATAAGATTTAAAAAATGGTTACTAGGTTTCAAATTCTATTTTTGGTAAGCTTAGAAAATGCCACAGCAGGATTCCTTTACACTGGGAGGACTTAAGTATAATAGGATAAAGGTTTCTTCACAGTTTAGCTGCTTCTCCAGCTACTTTATCCTTAGATGGATATGGTTGATTCATTAACGTTGTTTCTTCTACGGCCAGTAATTTTGTTTTCTTGATTCTACTGGTCCTTGTTGTGCGCCTTTCACCCCGTTCATCTGCTGGACTTGCTTATCCGTTATTTCATGGAAAACGTGGAATAAGGGTGGATTTCATTTTTCTTTTTTTGACCATTTCTGAGTATTTATAATAGGACATTCTGGCATCTCATTTTTTTAGCAAATCTTAAAGGCCAGGTACTGTAAAATGTTTTTCGCTCTATCTTTTTTTTCTCTTTGCATTCATTAATGCAGGAAAGTAACGGTGAGTCTTCCCAGTCTTTTAACCATATGCTTTACTCCTTTCCAGATTCTTTTGCTCATGTGAATGCCGTTTTTTTATTCGCTTGTGAGCCACATTGATGTTCGTTTTCGTTTAAAAGAAGAAAAAAAAATTAGCCATGGTTGCCTGAACATCGATGTTTAAGTTCTTCTGGTATTAGTCGCTGTACATAAATTCACACACACATATATATATAAGTACACATATGCATGTGAATGCTTGTTTCCGAAGATTTTTATTTGATAATTGATTTTTTTTATCACTAAAACTTCTATTTAGGGTGTTTTGGCTGTTATAGTGCTTTTCTGCTCTATTTTTCTTTTCATCCCTGTCTTGTTTCATTCAAGACATCTTTTTCTTGTCATTATTTGATCAACAAATAAAGCGCAGTGGGGATCTTATTTTTTTATACTCCCCAATGACAGTTGACAAAGGCGGAAAACTCATCGAGCGTGAGGAAGCCTTCAACTCGATTCAAAAGAAAATAAAGTGAAGGTTTGAGAACGGTTCTGTGGTGATGATGATGGCGGATGGATGGAATGAAATCTGGAAAATTAATCTACCATGTTTTAACTTATGAAAAAAAAGTTTTTTTTTTCGGTCTAAGTTGCACTAGAGTAACATTTGGGAATTCTTTTGAAAGAGAACGAAGAAACTGTTTTATATTTATTGTTGTACTTTTGCTGCCTCAGAAATGGCGTTTTGATAGTGAACTTCTTGATGTATAATCAGGATGCGTTGGCCGTATAAATAGTTGCTGAATGTATGCTGATCGTGGGGACGGGAAAAAGAGAATGTGGGTTGGGGAGAGGGAAACGGGGAGATATTTGTTAGACTATTCAAACTATAATGGAATTACAAATGGGCATAGTTTTAAATTGCAAACAAAGCTTGAACGTTGTTGTTTTTTTCTTTTATTTTTTATTTACTTTTTTCTTCTTCTTCTTCT